TTTCCTAAAAATTCCCTTATATGTTTCGATAAAAATCTCGCAAAAAATGGCAAAGTAACGCTGTAAAAATCATGAAAATTCCTTAAGAATCCGAACAGTCCAGGACAATCCCCCAAAAAAATTCATTCAATGTACTGTGTCATATAAAGGGACAAGTCTGATTTAGAGATTTGTAAATAAATTTTTGGATTTTGGAAATAAAAAATATCGTGCGATCGCAATAAGCAGAGATTCTTTATTTACCACCGAGCTGACGGCTTTGTTGTTAAACCCAACTTTATGAGTACCTATCAACGACATCTACGTTCTTTGTATAGCATATTTGGCATCTGAGTCAACATTTTTGGTTACTAAAGAAGCCGAAAATGGTCAAAATCTGCCCACTGACACGCTTATCAGTTATAAAAAATCCATTTATAAAAACAAAATTTTTTTTAATCGAAAAACATCTACCTTATATGCTGCCTAATAAAACATTCTTCATTCCAAGCTAAATTATGGCAAATTTCGTTAAAATCGGTTCTACTTTTCACCGCAACTTATTTTGGGTTTAGTTGATATGAAGCATTCAGCCTATGAAGGATTGAAAGATTAAAGAGAGGGACGCAGACGGAAGGCAGTGAAGTCAAATATTTGCATATTCTTGCAAAAAAACATTACCATGCTAGACAATATTCCATGATAAACTTTAACTACTTTTAATATTGCAAAACTTTATGTATTCTAATGAGACGCTATTTTTCAGAAGCGAGGCATCATAATTAGCATTTTAATCATTTCCATGTAAATATCTTATTCCGATTTATCAGATAGAAAGGTGTCTAAAGAACATAATTCCGCTACAGTCACTCGCCATGACAAGCACACACAAATACTTAAAAATACATTTAAAACCCATTTTAGATAATCAAACTGGTCCGTTGGCTAACTGGCTTTCCCGTTTAAAAGTGCAAAACGAAAAAAAAATGCAAAAAACCTGCATAACAGCTTTTCGCGTATTGTTACGAATGCATATATCGTACAAAAAGGGGCAAAAATAATGACAACAACAACAACACAGACATGCACATTGTGAAATGTTAAATTAAATGTTTATTGAATTTTAATTGCAACTGAAATCACAAAACTCCAAAGTGCACTCCCATAAAGCATGCCTTGTTACATGTACCTGTTTATACTTATATGAACGTATGTATATATATATATATATATATATATATGTACGGGAGTGTGCATGTATCTTTTGCACTATTTATTTTCGTTTAAAAAAATTTCCACGGAATAGAAATCAAATAAATTCTAGTGCATTCATTAATATGCAAACAGTTTCCCAATTGACAGTAAATTGTTGACAAACGCCGAATGAAATGCAGGAATACACAAAACAAAAACAGCACGAAAAACAAAAACAACACTCAGCAAATGTTAAAAAATGGCAAAAACGAACAACCCTCTTTGTGTAAATTTTAAATGCAAACAAATTATAGAAAAAGAAGGCACAGTGGCTGAGTCGGAAATATTAGTTGAAAGTTTTATGGAAATAATCGAATTGGTTTTAATTCAATTTTTCTATTCGATGCTATATTTAGTACAGAAATATTACATTTTTTTTACCTTTGTGCAAAATAAAATTTGTCGGCCATCAACTCACCACTTGTTTGGGAGGCTGAGTGTATCTACGCGCTCCCCTAATACGACGCCACTGTGCATGCGGGCATCACGCCACTTGTTGCTGCAATTTATCATAAATTAATTTAAACAAAATGCGGCAATTCTCGTCGCGGAATTAGAATTAAGTAACAGCAACAAAAACAAACCAGCTAAGACAAATTTCTAAACTCTTTCTAGTTCTCGCTTTTCTCGCAATTTTTATACCCGAGCGCACTTGTGCACAAGGGTATTATAACTTTGTTCACATAACGGTTGTTTGTAACAGGCAAAACGAATCGAGATAGATATAGACAAATGTATACATAAATGATCAGGATGAAAAGAGAAATCGATTAAGCGGTGACTGTCTGTCCGTCCGTCCGTCCGTCCGTCCGTCCGTCCGTCCGTCCGTCTGTCCGTCTGTGCACACGATAACTCGAGTAAAAATTAAGATATCTTAACGTAACTTGGCACGTGTACTTCTTTCGGGCGTAGGACGGATGGTATTGAAAATGGGCAAAATCGGACAATAACCACGCCTACCTCCCATATAACGGTAATTTTCAGAAATACGAAAACTGCGATATTTTAGTAACTACTGAAGATTATTCACTCAAAATTGATATTTGCAATAACTTTTAAACGAAAAATAAGAATATTATAAATTTTTGAAAAATGGGCGTAGCCACGCCCACTTAATGTTACATGTGTATATCTTGGCAACCGCTGCACCGATTTCTTCCAAACTTGGCACAGTTATTGGCCTTGGTACAGGATACCAAATGGCCGAAAATTTTAAAAAGGGGACAATAACCACGCCCACATCCCATATAACGGTAATTTGGAGAAATACGTAATCTTCAATAAATCCGTAAATATTGAAGCTAATTTATTCAAAATTGATGCTTGCAACAATTCTTTATCAGGAAATACGCTTATCATAAAATTTTGGAAAATGGGCGTGGCACCGCCCACTTATGATCACATATATGTATCTCGGTAACCGTTCTACCAATTTGTACCAAACTCGGTATTTTTATTGTGCTTGCCACATAAAAGCAAAACGTTCAAAATTATTGAAATCGGACTAAAATTACGGCTTTTCATATAACGGTAAATTTTAGAAATGCTCGAAACGTCAATATCTCGAAATTTAAGGATGCTAATTTATTCAAAATTGATACACCCCGGCTTACCATCTAGCGGAAGGTTTCGGAAAGGTAAAAAGGCATATATGTAATACTTGCGCCGGGTATTTAATGTTCGGCCCCGCCCGAACTTAGACTTTCTTACTTGTTTATTTTAATTTTTTGATTTTTTATTTATTTGCACACAACAACCAAACTAAGTGGAAACATATGTATGTACATATGTACATAAATATTAATATTTTATTCATTCGCGTTTTTTTTTCGTTTGTTGTTCTTGTTTGCCCATTTTTGTGTGTTTTCGCTTTATGGTTTTGCGTTTATGGCAACAACAGCAACAAGAAAAAGATCGCTAGCCAGCGATCGTTTTATAAGTACATATGTATGTACGTAAGACAGACAGACAGACAGACAGCCAGACATGCCGAAAGTGACAACCGCCCGCCGAACGACTGAGCAACAGCGAAAGCTTTAAGCTGAAGAAACAACAACAAGAACAACAACAAGTAAATAAGCACTAAAATATAAATAAAACCAACGAATCTAAAACTATTAGAATAATAATGAGAGTGTGGCGGCAGCAGCCAGAACAGCAACAACAACAACAACAAAAAAAGCGAATTATGCTTACACTAGCGGCGTGTGTTGTTGCTGTCGTTGTAAATATCGTTGTTACTTGTTAACATGGGTGTGTTAAGCGGCGCTTTCGATCGTTGGGCCGATTGGCGCGGCGGCGCAATTTCGTTGCCGCGGTATTTTGTTTCCACATTCACCTTGAATTGCAAATCTGGTTTTTCGCCGCTTTTACGCAACTGGATTTTAATAAATAGATATTTTTTTGCGCTTAGATTTTATTTCGCGTTTTTTTATTTTCATCTATTTGTTTATTTTTTACTTTTTGCAATTCATTCATTCCACTTTATATTTTATTCATTTGCTGTACGTTTTCGGTTTTCGCCTTGCAGGCAGCGACTTGTATTGCATTGTAAACATGCAACAAGACTGGCTGTCACTTACACGCTTACTTGTGCGCTCCCACCCCCCTCCACCCCTCCATTTGCTGCATGTGCGCTTAAGTTGGGTGGGTTGCGGCGATCCGAAATGGAAATAATTCAATAGGTTTTTTTTTACTTCTATGTTCGTATAAGATTAATTGCATTGAATAAGAAAAATATTGATATTTTAATAGTTTTGCTTTTACTCTCGTTTTTTTTTTTAGATACATACAAAAGCAACAACAACACGAACTTAATTGCTTAGCCATGCACGCAACAGCAATACATTCCACTTGAGACGTTCCAAAACGCGTCAACTAATCAGGAAATAATGGATATTGACAAATATACACAGATATGTTGCATCAAGGTTATAAAAGCGAAACGGTAAAATAAAAAACTAAAAACAAATTGTGCAACTAAAAGTGTATGTGCAGTGAATATTGAAAATACATACGTACTCTAGACCAAATGTGTTCAAAAACTTCTTCCGAGGAAAAGTAATTAAATGACAACCAATATGTTTTAAAAGTAGTTTACTGTACAAATTAACATGAAATAAACAAGGAATAAATTGACTTCAGAAGTACTATATACATAGATATATATTCAAAAATATTAAAATTTCTCTTGGAGAGGTAAAGATTAATAGTTCTGAAAAACATTTGAAGTACATTCATACATACATTCGTATGTATGTTTTCGTGTGTGCTTACATTACCACATGAAAGTACCTTATGGTCATATATGTATGTATGTATATGCATTGCTCTCACCGACTTCCTAAAAAAAACCCCTAAAAAGGAACAGGCCCCAGTTTATTAATAAATCACCATTACAGTAAAAATAATAGAAAAGTTTTAATTAAAAAAGAAACTGAATTAGTGGTGGAACCATGGCGGAATGCTCGTATGCCAGATGTGTGCAGGAACGTCGCCTTATTAAACGTGAATTGATGAAATGGTCAAAGGATATGCTACATATAGTCGGTAAGTAATCTGTGCATTTTCAGTAGCAGTTTCAATACATATGTATATTTCCTAATATAATTATTCTATTACATTTGCACATATGTATTTATAGGTATGTTATAAATGACTAGCAGACCTTTGAAATGTAGAACCAAATGGTCACAAAATAATCCTGACCCGAAATGAACTAGTCCCAAAATAATATCTAACCAGTCTCGACATCTTCCTGAAATAGTATTGAACTAGTCCCTAAATGGTTCTCAAATATTAGTGAATTGCTCCCAAAATGGTCCTGAAGAGGACCCAAAACGGTGTCGAAATGGTCCCGGACTAGCCCCAAAATGGCGCTAACCTAAACTGAACTTGAATTTTAATATCTAGGCGTACTGCTTGCATAGAAAATGAGTTTAGCAAACGCGCAAAATCTAGATGAGTTCAGGCAAAAAATGCAATCAACTGCGTTTGGCTACAATTCTTCACAATTCAAACACAATAACCCACGCGTTAGTGTTTTAAACTGGAGCTAAAGACAGTCACTCTTTCATGGTCGAGCTGCACCTTAACTATATTGACAGGATTCTTTTTCACTGCGGATGGGATAGGCTCCCAACAAACCTAGCGAAGATGTTGCTTCATAAAAAATTTTTTCTACAACTACTGGTTCAGAAATATTGATTTGTACACACAAAAGCAGTTGCAAATTTTTTTCCTAGGTTTGACTTGAGGTGTCTACATATCAACAAGTAATTTTTAGCAAAAAAAAAAACCGACTTCAACTCTCATATAAAAAAAAATATATATATATATATCTCACGATCCACTGATCGGATCTTAACCAGATTAGTATGGGACCACCTCTGAGACACTACCTTTCCGATGCAAAAATTATCGAAATCGGTTGACGTGGTCCAAAGTTATGCGGTAAACATACATAAAAAAAAAAAAAAAAAAATTTCCAACAACTTAAAACCCTCCTCTTTTTTTGGAAGTCGGTTAAAAATAAAAACATGAACGAAACTTTTTAGTTAGTCCAAGATGGCGTGTCTTCAAAAACCAGATGAAAAAAATAATCTATTTTTCTTTGAAAAACATAAAGAAAAATCCTTTTTTTATATAAATTGTATGTATGGTATTCAGGTACCGGTGCACTAAAGTTGAAGTATATACCTGACCGTAATAGACGCGTCAACAAGGAGAAATTTCTCTATTCAGAATTTTTGTTACTTTTATCATGTAACCTGAAAGAATTTTGAGATGTTGGGAATAGTAAGCATGAAAGCTTGTATTGCGACCACTTTAGTTTACTCTTGTCTTCAAGCTTTTACTAAGTCTCACCTCTGTATAATCAAATCTTGCAATCAATGTTTAACCAACTTCGCGATGAGCTAGATACCCTATACTTCTTACTTAGCTCAGAACCCGATGGTAAGGCAATATGAAGGTGGAATTAATCCGGTAGGTGGCGCAGGTGTCGAGATATTTGAAAATCCCGTATATATGTTTATACTTCCGTATGATTGTTACTTAAATCGACAGAAATATCTCCACAAAAAATTTAGCCGTTAGGTGGCACTGGGTTCACTTTTATTTTTTAAGGCTTTAATAAAAGCTTGTTCTAAATTTTTTTTAATACATTGTAGGAAAAAGCTCAAGCTTTTCAAAGCAAAAAAAAACAATGTCGAATAACATGAACTTGGGATTGGGTCATAGATTACGCTTTCCCAAAGTATTTTTAGTTTTTAATAAAAAAAATTAAAATTTCGCAATGAAAAAATTTAAAAAATTACAGATTCTTGTAACATCTTTTAATATTTATTACTTCCTTTCCGACTTAAGGCGTTTTTGAGGTTAAGCTTGCATTGGCGGTATGTTTTTAAACAATCCGATTACTCTCATTTTTTTAGATGTTTAGTTATAATGTTATTACATTATTTCGGAATGATATGTTCGCCGGTCCGCATTTTATGACCTTTTTAAGGCATTTTTGAGGTTAGGTTTGCATGGGAGGTATGCTTTGAAATAAACCGATTACGTCCAGTCTTTCATATACAACATAGCTACAAACATATGGACGAAATTTCAGGGTCATATTTTCATCGGTGCATTTTCTTATGACATTTTTAAAACGTTTTTGAGATTAAGTTTGTAGGGGATGTATGCTTAAAAATAAATCGGTCACACCAATTTTACGTTTTTTTCTTGGGTTATGTCTATAAATATTTCATGCAGGAAATTGAGGTTCTATGCCAATTCCTTCCAATTGTTTCCGAAAAAAAAACAGTTATGGAGCTGTGCGCAATATCGTATATGGCCGTACTGGTACATGGCGTATGAGTAACATTTTCCATGCTAAAGTTTTCCAAGCTTAAAATGAAAATATCTTGGGGAAAATGACCTGATCTAGTAAGATGGTGTACAGATCGGCAATCTACACAAAGTAATGAGCTATGCTGTACATATTCCTCAATTGAAAAAAGTATTTTAAAAATAACCTTAATCCCAGCTAAAATATTATTACACAAAACTTATAATGATTGTTGTTTTTTTTTTTAATTTCAAATTCAACACTGAAACCATTTTCTTCCCAAGGTGGCATTTGCTCAAGTGGATTATCTCAAGTGAATGCATACATTTTTTTTTACTTTTTTCTCCTCTGTAACCAAATCGCAATCAAATTCAATTTTAATTGCATTTCGGAAATGAATTTCGATATTAGTTACCGCTGCAATGTAATCACATTTTCATAGCCGAGCAAGCACAACCAAGCACAAAATCCACAAGCAGAGCTTCTGCGCAACAGCTATATGTACTTTATTATGCACATACATACATACGTACTTATGTAAGCACATATTTATACGAAATATAGTCATGTATAGATTGCCAAGGAGTAGTATATACATACATATGTGTGCATTGCACTCATTTTTTGTAGCGAAAACGCTTACGACCCAAAACCAATCTGCCACATTTCGCAGCGTCACCGCAAGCCGGGCGAAATTTATAGCTCAGCCTCATTACGCTGGCAATGGAATTTAATATCCATCAATATATTTTATGTATGCACGTTAATATACTGAAATGCACACAAATATCTGGGTGTGTGTGTGTGTGTGTGTGTGTGTGTGAGTTTATCCCATTTCAGCCAATTTTTTCTAAACTTATTTCTCTTACGACTGCAAGTCGCTGCTTTAGTCCTGCATTTTGTTGTATTCCTATGGAGCGTGTGAGTAGGTACTTTCCTTGTATTCCAACTATTCGCGGTGATTCCACGCACACTTTTACATACTTATATGTATATATGTACATATGCGCCTCTTCTGCCATTACTTATATAAGTGGTCGCTTGGTCGTTTGGTCGCTTGGCTGAGTGAGTATACGCTCTCCTCGATATCAGCTCAATAATTTTTAATTCCTCTTACCGCCATCAAGTTTTCCTCGCACCCATACCAACAATCCAAACTAACTTCGCTAATCCATAGTAAATGGTGAGAAAGACAGATACGACATAGTTATAAAAAAAAAGAGAGTGTAAAATAAAAATGGCTGCAGAAATATTGTAGAAAAAAAAAAATTAAATTAATAGCAACTTTTTATATCACCATTTCTTTGGAAGTGCGAGGAGGTGGCCATCTGCGTGTTCTGTGTTCACCTCTCTGCCTTCTTGCATTCGCTAAGCAGCACTGTGACCGCTTGCTGTACTTCCACAAAAATTGCATTAGTGGAATTTTTTCAGCGCCAATTTTTTTTTTTGTATGCTTTCGTTATATTTATCTTTATGTAGTTATACTTATAAGTGTGTGCGTCTCTTGAACTTTTTAGCCAACACTGCAGTTTGCTCTCTGTTGGCGAAAAAGTTCTCTCATTTTATGAACCCAAACCCAAATGACGACACTGCTCCTCGTTTGGCTTAGAACTCACACATTATTTTTTCGAAATATTTTTTTTTTCTTGTTTTGTTTTACATTGCACTGAATTTTTTTCTGTGTTCTCTTTCGGTGTCCTTTTTCGATATATTTAAGTACATAAAGCTATGAAATTTTTCAAAATTTCTCCCTCACTCAGGAATTGAGAAGCAACAGTAGCTAAAGGGTATGCGTATGTCTGATGTTTCCATATGTTCTGGTGTTTTAGTGAATATTCTTTTTTTTTTTATATTCTGCAACAGTTTATTAAATATATATTAATGTTTAATTATAATTACCAAGATTTCATTATAATGAAAAAATTGTTGGATGTGGCGAAATAAATATTTAGCTCCAATTTATCATGGCACAAATGCGACCAGTATCGGTATCAGTATCAGTGGGAGTAGCACTTGATGAACTACGATGAAGTACTCGAAGTTCGTCAGCTTTGAGATTCTTCTTATTACCGCCGTGGCCGTCTAAGTTAAATATCTCAAAGATTTACGGGATTAAGCACCAGCCGCATAACCGCTATCAGGCAAACGAAAATTTGGCAATATCAAGTCATCGACATTTATTGAATTATCATTACAGAGTTAACAAAATTTATCGAGTTATCGATATTAATTTACTGAACTTTGTCGATTTATCGAATCGAATTTTTTGGAATTTTCAAAATATATCGAATTATTGAAATTTCAGCGTTATATATAAGTTTATCCAAATTTTTAAGCCTTTGAAGTTTATTGACACCGCGAAACGCGCAGTTATCGAAATTTATCGAAATTAGTCGTGTTATCGAATTTTGCTGAGTTATCGGATTGTAGTGTTTTTGAAATTCATCGAGTTATCGACATGCATCAAATTATCATAATTTATCGACAAACTGGAATGTATCGGGTCAATTAGAACTCCAGCCAAGGGCCTTCAAAGATATTAACATTTTTAGTCACGTTTTAGTTCCAAAGTAGGACACGTAGGAACGACGTACTAACTTCGAAAACCTCTCCAAAAGTCTTAAAAAACTGGAAAAAGGGTCAAATTTCTAGAGTAACTGGCACTCCTAATATTTATATAAATTAGGTTTTTATTTTTTATTGCACTATAGCA